GTCTTCTGTTCCCATGAGCCGCCGCCTAAGGGTACTGCACTGCTCTTTGTATAGGCTGCCTTGTTAACCCAAAAGCTGAATATACTAATGCAGTTACTGTCTTTTTACTACTTTAGCTTCAGGTAAACAGAGTTCCAAGAATAATTTCATGAAATTTCCCCTTTCCTCCTCTTGAATTGGGTTTTCACGCAGTGTCACAAACTCGCTGGTCCCCGTTTTTATGGGGGACATAGTTTTAAGCATCATATTCTACAATGGCAAACAAAGTAATGTTTTCATTTGGGTTTTTTACTATATTTTGGCTTCATTCTTGGACCCCTGATACAGCATGCTTATGAATGAAATCGAATAGCAACAATAAGCATCAGCTATGATCAGTTTGAATTAAAATAATGAATAGATCGATGCTTTTGGCTGCTCGTTCAACATTTGGTCTGGACCAGTTTGGCTTTGTTAGGGGCAAGAAGAATTGGAGTAATAGGTGCATTACTTCTACTACATTAATGCTCATTTTCCTTGTGTTTATAAATAATGTCAAAATGCATCAGCTTGTGCTGTGGGTATTGGTGTGGAGTAGGGTGGCTACCATAAATGTGGAATAATGGTGCTCATTTGAACAGCTTCCCAGTAGAGTTGTTCTGTTTGACATTTGTTTAAAATTCAGCTTTGTATAATTGCAATATGCTCTGTGTAATTGATATTTAGATGGTTCCATGTCTTATTCATGTCTTAGTGGTAGCACAGGAGTGCATTTCCTCTGAAAGGATGAACACCACCTAAGTGTCCAAAGTCATACGTGTGTGTGAAAAGTCAAATTGAACTGACTCAACTGGCCGTAGGAAATCTGTTTTGTAGTGAAGTATTGACTTAAACCAGAAATTGGCATTTCTTAACCATATATTAAAACAGTTCCACTCCCAAATTTAATTTTTGTGTAAAGCTGTGTTTGAAAGTCATTAACCTCTGTTTCATCATATGAGCTTCTTAGAACTTATCTTTGATCCTTGGGTTTTTGATGAGAAGTCTTAAATTCTGCTACTTTTCTTGTTTCTCTCGAGTCAGGTATATAATATAACTGCAGTCTGAATACTTTTGGATAACTCATGAATTTAATAGTATATTTTCCCCTCCCCCTTCTCTGTCTCTTCTCTCTCCCCCTCTGTTTTTCTCTTTCCTTGCATGCCACCTGGATCTGCAGATGAAATTAGTGGGGACGGTAATATGTTTTCTAGTCTGTGTGTTACTAATGTGCAATATGCAACTCTTATATCCATATACCACTTAATGCACATTTCAGTAATAAATATTACAGATTTTTGGTATTAAAAAACAATCTGTTTTGGCCATTAGCCAACAAATGCTGTACTTTACAGGCTGTGCAACTAACACTTTCTGCTAAACTGGAATTGAAAAAAAAAATAATTTAGACACCCAGGGATATAGTTTTGCATGTGTTTGCAATGAGAGTTCTGGCATGATGCAAAGGGGGTTTCTAGCTTTGCAAGAGTGTCCCTTCAGTTTGATGGAGATGATTGTATCAGCATTTTTTTGGTCAGCAGATGAGATCAATGGATGTAACACATGAGAAATGAGTCTTCCAAGTGGTGCTTTAAGGCATGGTAGCATCAAAGTGCTCTGTAATCCTTCCGTAAAAAGAAGCTGCACAAGATAGGCTAATGTAGATTGAAGTAATGAAATATTAATCAGGCTTCAGCTACTCAAACTGCTGATTTTTAAATGCAAGATTTTCATGTGTTTCTTCAAGACATATTACAAGAGACTTACTTTCCCCAGACTTAGGATGTCTTGTTTTCTAGGAAATACTGACTTCGTATTCTCTGAGAACAAGCTGGGTTTGGTTTTGTTTCTTTTTCTAAAGGATTCCATCTGATGTTGTTAAAAAAATTAAACTACTACTACTGATGCTGTATGTATTTATTCTTGTAAGTAAGGAGGTACTAAAAGGGCATAAGAAGCAGTATGCAAAGGAAGTTGATAAGAAATAGAGACAGCTATGTATTGTGGTCTTCCTCTCAGCATGTAAAAGAGCTGTATGCTTTTTCATCTCCTTTCTCTCCTTCAGATAGAAATCAAAGTTGATATGACCCCAATTTTTTTTAAAACATTAAAAACTCAAGGGAAATTTTTGTCTGTCATATATTCAGAAACTAAATCTGTGTAGCTTTTTGTTGGTTCTTACCTTTTACAAATTATAGTCTCTGATAAAGGGGAAGAAATAACCAAAAGGGAAATTTCAAACAGGTGTTTTAAGGTCATTGAATTATCTATTATGCATTTGATATCCTTGATTGTTGTTTTTTTTCTGCTGTTTAATAAATGCATTCAGATTTAGTGAAACTCAAATTGACTCATTGACCTGTACCACCAACACTCTATCTTTGTCCAAAAGTGACCTGTTGGCTTTTTTCCATCTAGAAGAATCTGGGATTGACCAACAGGTGAAAAGGTTCAGTGCTGGTTTTAAAATGAGCAAGAGGGCAGCAGTAATGAGCAAGCCCTGTTTGTATATCTTGTTTTTTATAGGCTTATCAAGGGCCTCTCCAGAAATCATTCCTTGTTGTGAGGGTTCAGCTCTTGAGACTGCTGTAGCACATCCTTCTTTGTAAAGCAGCCTGGAGAGCCTTGCCTAGCTGAGTTTTGCTCCAGACTCCGCGTGGGTTCTGGAATATCTCTTGGCAGACATAGTCATGGTCTTACCAGACCTGGTCATAGTTTCACACTATGACTCTAATTGTGAAGTAGAGACTGCACATGAGGGAGATCAGTTACCTTTGCTGCAGAACAACACTTTGAGGACATCGGTGTTAAAGCTTTGATTTAATTTTATCTTAATTCCCGAAAACAAAGCCAGAAATATATAGGAATTACTTTCTGAATACTTATTACATATTCCTCTCCAGAGTGTTAAATGTGTAACAAGAAATACTGTTTGTTTATTTATTTGCATGCATTTAATTTATTTGCATTTGCCACTGATGACCCTTTTAGTTTCAGGATGGTTTTGGGCAGTGGATCAGGACCATGTAAAATGCTCAGTGTGTTCTGATAATGCTTTTGTTATTATTTATCTTCATTAATTTAAAACAGAAGATTAACAAGCCAAGACATTTCTCATAATTTGTAAGCACTGTTCCATAATCTCTTGTGACAAATGCTTTGTTAAGGCCAGTGTAGCACCAATTCTAGTTTCCAAACTTTAAAAATTCTTCTCAAATATGCTTATCATTTCTTTCATTCCATCAAGTTTTTAACACAGATTAAGAACTTTCTGGTATCATCACATACAAGCTTGGAGCAATTGTTGATACATATCACATTTAACAAAAGTTGAAAACATCTTAGGAACATCTCAAACATCCTAAAACAAGCAGTGATTTATCCCCATCATATGGGTGTCACACTAATGATTTCTTTCAAATGGATGCTTATTTTTTAGATCAAACTTGGGCCTACTTTCTACAAAACCTTAGTTAATAATGTAGGGAGGAATAAACAGACCAAAGAGGAGATCAGTGCTTCTGGAGTAGTGTGCTTGCTTAGAATTGTGCACTGTCTTTAAATTTTCATTAGGTGACTCTGTTTTGCTGTGGTCTAAATAGAAGTTGCCTAGCAAAAATTTAAATGGCATAGAGTTTCCTGATTCTGTTTTTACAAGACACAGTATATTCCTACAGGAGTTAGAAAGAAAAATAGCTTTAATTTTATTTAAGTCATACGATGTTAGGATCATAAAACTACATTTACTCTCTGAAGTGTGTTGAACATCCAAGGTTATACACAACCTGTGGTTTCCTAATTACTGAATTGAGCTTGAAAATTAAGCTTCTTATTTGTGTGTGTAATATTTATGAGCCTTGCTCTGATTTCAGAGTTGTCTGAAGTTGGTTGAACTGAGGGCTACTGCAGAAAGGGATCATCCCATCCCTCTTTCCACTCTCACTGTGGCTTTGTCCCGTTCACCATTCAGAATCCATGCCTGTACACATGCTGTCAGGGAGGAGCAGGGACATGCTCCAGGGCAGATGGGGTAAAAAGAGGGGTGGCCCAGTTGTGATCACCTCAGTTTTGAGAATCCTTCTGTGCATTGGTGATTAGAATTTAAAAGCCTTGAAGTGAAAAATTGTATCACTGTTGTGGAGCTTTCTTGTAACCACCAGAAGAATTTATCTGACCGTGAGGAAATGGCCTACACAGATTGGCAGTTCTTTAGAGCAAGAGAAGGACCTTCTGATATGACTTCACACCATTTAAACCATTTTAAGAACAGATCATGTCAAAGTTGTAAGTTTTCAACAGAGAAAGAAGCACACCTTCACATTTCTGATAACCTTGACAATTGATTGTTTTCAAACACTGGCCATGAGATGTTGGTTGCTGACGGCAAAACTGGCAGTGAATTTTCATGAAACAAGGAAAATTGAGACTAATGCAAGAAAAATGGGTGTATGGTGAGAGTGTGACTTTAAAGATCTTTGTACTTTAGAAGACTTGATGGAACATAACTCACCTTGACACACTGACAGTAGTAGGTAGATGCTGCCCTGGAACATTTTTACTGTCTGTTCTGCTTGTTTAACATAAAAAACTAGCAAATTATTGTTCACACATGATTGAAGATAAAGCAGTTGAATCTGCTAATAATGTTTGCTCCTTGCTGCTGGAATTTGCTGTTAAAAAGATTTTAAGTCAACAGTTTTAGATGGGCTTCAATTACAGAACTTGAACTTTTTTGAATACAAATGAATCTTCCTTTTATTCCTTGTTGAATGCATCTGTGTGAAGTTGTATACTTGGCACTGCGGTCATTATCATACCATGAATTATGCATGAGACAGTTTTATTTGTGCTGTTGTAAATGCTTCCCAGCAATGTTGAAAATGGGGGGTTGTGACATACTAGCCTTGATCAACTGGAGATACTGTTTGGGAGAATTGTTTTCATCTGCTTGTCCCGAAACTCTTCAATTCCTCCCCTTACAGAGACAGATGACTATGCAGAGATTATAGATGAAGAAGATACTTACACAATGCCATCAAGTAAGTATGGTAGTTAACTGGGGAACTTGTATCCAAAGCTTTCTTTGATTTGGCAGGGACTGAATCTTCTATTTTAGCCTTAAGAAATCTGTGTGCAAAGAAAATACTCTTGACGATACTAAAAAACTCATAGATTCAGTGTTTTTCACGTTCAGGCTTTGAAGCAAATAAAACCAAATTCTGTTTTGCTGCTGTCAGTGACTTCACAATTAAATTCCTTGTATGTCTTTAAATGTAGATTATTGTGATGCTGAACACAACGCTCAATGAGAGTGGATAAGATTTCTGTGATAAGAGCAAACAATTTGGAAATCTTTTGTGTGTTGCTGTCTAGCTGTACCTCATCTTTGCTCTATGACAGACCTTGCTGCTTTCAAATTCCTTGCTAGAGGAAAGTCATCTGCACCTCATGCAATTTTGTTAAAGATGAAAGACTTCAGGAACAAAAACAAAAATACAAAGTTCTTCTGAGTCTTCATCTTTTAAGTTGAAAAAATGATGCATTAGCCTTGTGGCGTATTTCAATTATAATATAATCTTAAACTCTCAGGGCTGACTAATTCAATGGGAAAGTCCAATATCCCACTTTTGACAGTTATGTCTGTGAAATTACTGTTGCATTTTGGCAACCAAAGATTTCTCTCCAAGTGGACAATCAGTTGATACACAGACCTGCAAAACTGGCGGGTTTGGTTAGTGCAAGAGGAGAAGATGATC